GATGAGCTAATTTTCATATACTTTTTTAACTTCTCATACACCCGAGTGTGAAGAAGGAAAAATGAGGAGTAGTATGTTTACCATTTTCTAAATCTCATTTTGAAACCTAAATCTAACTCTCACTTTAATTGAGAACTCAAATATGACATTTAAGTCTTTAGTGGTAAAATGTGTTGTCGTAGGCATCCATTAATTTATGAATAATGGTTGGATAAACTACTACCACAATGTTATACGCAATGATAAAAGTTTATCGACCAATAATCTAATCAAAAGTAAACTAGCAAGCTCTTTTGCACATGTAGAGTGTAAAATATGTTTATGTGCTAGCAGAAGTGGAAATGAGACTTAATGGCAGAATCCTGATCAGAAAAAGATGCTAGAGAAAAAAGTGGTAGAAAATCCCCAATAAAAATTATATATCGAATGCAATCTCATAGTGGAATATAGAAAAAATAAAGTGTTAAGGATTTTGTATATGGCAACCACTTTCTCCCACTACTAATTCAAGAACAGAAATGACCCGAGACTGAATCTCTTTATTGAAATGACTCGTTACCACTACCAGCCTATGTTTATGACTTTGTAGTAGTGGTGGAGTTGCTTTATACCCCAAGCTCTACAATTTAAATTCACCGATCACTCTAAAATTAGTAATTTCATCTGTGAATTGCTAGTTTGGGAAGGTTCTAAGCGTTAACAAACCTATCTCAAAATTTCACCTTTCTTAAACTTCTATACGCAAGGCCTGGGGTATTTTCCCAGAATGTTTAATTAGCAGAACTCATTCCTTCTATCCACCCTTTATGTTAAACAAAAATTAGACAATCAAACCTTCGATCAGAAACAACATGCAACAGAAATACCATTTTACAATGAGCTAGTTCACTTGTAGTGAAGAAAGTTACAGTTCCATCTATAATTACAGGCGGATATTGTTTTGCATTTTACAAGGAGCTAGTTCACTTGTAGTAAAGAAAGTTAGGGTTCCACCATAATTACAGACGGATATTGTTTTGTATTTTGACACATGTAGTGAAGAAAGTTGGGGTTCCACCATAAAATCAATTAGTAATATGAAGAGTAATCCAATTATTATAAGCACATGCAATGTTTTTTTTTTTTTCCCTATGTGGAACACTGTCAACATGTAGACGACTAAAAAAGTTTATCCAGCACGTATCAAATTGTGATTTCTCTCTATAAACGTATTTTTCTCAAATAAATTCTCCCAAAACTTCCCTTCTGCATTGTCATTTCTGCTGTACTTCAACTCCTTCAGCGTCTAATTTAGGAATATACAGAAAATGTTGGAGAAAGTGTGCACACTAAGACAGTGTGATAGTGGTAACAGTACAAGACGCTGTAAATAGTACGGACAGAAAAAACAAAAAAGCATCAGGTTTTCCTTCTTATCAGATTTTTCATTGGCTCCTTGCGTTTGTTTTTGGTTCGGGTTACTTGTAAGCAAATTACAATTTGACGGGAATGGATTTGTCATCACAATCATATGAGTATTATTGGCAATATTTTGTTAGACATTTCTTGTAGGTCGCATTAGCAAATTCAATACCTTCCATGTGGTTGAGGCCCACATAATATCCCAATAAAGATATATACGAACATCCTTTCTGGGATCACTATGCAATCCAACTGAATGATCGTAGTCATCCATCTTAAGGGGATGGTCTATCGTATCGTTATTTAAATCAGAAGACCCCTATTTTTAATGATATTAGCATCTTAATCCTCTAATTAATCGATAGTGTAATAGTTTACGCTGATAGTATAATAGGTCATCCCACTTAATTAATTAATATTGTATCATGTTCATGCATAAGACCAACTCCAATAGTTTGGTTAAAACTCACAATTTAAGTTTTAAACTCACCCAAAAAGCTTCTCCAATCATTAAGCTATAAAAATGTTTTGGGTGAAAACTTATTTTTGGGCCAAATGTAACCTGGAAAATGAGCCAAGGTTAGTGGCTGGGACCCAGTTGCTGATGTTGTCGGCTACTTGCGAAAAACCAATGACTATTTTTTTTATTGGATGGCCCACGTGGTTGGACTGTTGGTTGGTTGAGCCAACGGTCCATATTCAATTTTTTTTTTTTAAAAAAGAACAAATTTATAAATACATTAAATCCAAAGCCTAAAATAATTAAAAGAAATTTATTTAACTCAAAATTCACCCAAAAACTCTTATAAATACATCTGTATTTGTTCAAACATTCATACAAAATCCACTTGCGTCAAATAATTCTTCTTTTTCTTCATTCTACCCACCTATGTATTTGTGTTTTAGAATGGGTAGTTTTTGTGGTTTTCTATGTTCTTTCATGTGGTGTATATGTGTAAGAATGAAGTAGGTTCAATGATTTTTTATTATTTATCGAAATTTAAATCTTTTTAAATTAAAATGTTCATAAAAATAAATTAAGATAATCTAAATAAATTTTATTTTTAAAAAAGTAAAGGAAAAAAAAATAAAAGGCTAAAATCATTCTTTACTAATTTCAGACTAAAATTTTAAGCCAACCGTTGGAAGAGAAAAGCTGTTTCTAGGTTAGAACCTAAATTTTCTAGGTTAAAAATTTAGGTTTTAATCTCCATCATTGGAGTTGGTCTAATAGCTTACACATTGATAGGACGACCATGATGTAGTAACCAATGTTGTTAAAGTAATAACAATATCAGTAATTTTATACATTGGACAACAAACTTTAACAATTATTATATAAACTTATGATGCTTGTAATTAGGACATTTGATCGCGTTGAAACTTAACGTCATATTGTAACAAACCTAACATGAAGGTTAGGGGACCAAAAGTGAATCATCATAATGATTGGGTAATTTCATGACGTCCACTCATCATAAGATATTACTCCTATATTTTAACGTCTGGATTGTAATAACCAACGTGTTCTTGTAATAACAACAAAATTTTATAACTTTACCATTATTATATAACATCGAACAATATATTTTAGCGATTATCATGTACACTTATATTTCTTTTAATTACGACGTTGAATCATGATGATATTGAACATCATATTGTAACAATTTTCACATAAAATTTGTGGACCCAAAAATAAATAAACGTATTGAATAATTTCATTATGTCCACTCATACATTATATTTGTTCTGTTAAAAAAAAGTATCAAAGAAAGAAATGCAGCATAGAATTTTCCTTCTTAAATCTTCTCCTGAAAACTCTATTTTTTATGTAGTCAGTCACTGTTTTGTCATCTATAAAACTAATAATTTTAATGGTATATACTGAAATTCTCTATAACAATCCAATTACTATATAGAGTATATATACATGTTCGCATATAAAGAAATATATAAAAATCATCTGCTTGAAAACTCATGAAAAAAAAGTAGGGCCACTTTCACAGTAACCTAGCCTGAAAAGTGAAAATTCTTATTTGAAATAGGAAAAATCGAGACTATATTTTTAAATCATATTTTATAAACCACTTGATGTGGCAGTCGATGGTGAAATTTTTTTTTTTTAATGATTTAAAAAAAGAATTCAACCATCAACTACTACATATAGTGGTGGATTTAGGATTTTAACTTTGGGTGGTTCTAATCAAGTGACGTTAGGCCATAGTCCAGCGGCAGGCTAGGGCGTCCATGCGCCTAGACGAGATCTAGGCAACGGACTAGGTTGACTAATTAGATTTAAGTAAACTTACTATACCATACAAGTAAGTGCCTATTTACACTTACAAAAAGACCATACTTGTATTGAGAATTTAAGGTTTATTATTTTGATTAGCTTTATTATAGAGCATACAAAAAAAAAAAAAAAGAATTTTTGTTGTACTAATTTAATGAATTTGATGGTATGAGATGAAAGTGCAAGTGACCACGAGTTCATAGTATATTACAAAATACTTTTAAGAGGTAGTATGAATTTATAGGAATTTTAAAAAATAACAGTAATAGACATATGGTATAAAAATATTGGTTGAAATTCACTGTCTTAAAAATCCACGCCTAGAGTCGCTTAGGCTCCGCCTAGGCGCTAAGCGGTTGGCCACCGCCCTGATTAATGCCTAGGTGTTTGAAAATTAAGAAAGAGCACCTAGACCGCCTAGGGACCTGCCTAGCCCACCTAGACCCGCCTAGGTTGCGATTCATTTAGACAGAAAATAGATAACTTTCATTTTGCATTTTATTTTTTTAATAAATTGTAAGAAACTTGTTGAATAATTAAAGGAACACACATTATATACTTGTTCCCCATGTTTTCATTATGTTCCAATAGCTCATAATATATATGTCATTCTATTTTGTAGTTTATGATGAAATCATATATATTTTAAGTATAAACGGATACTTATTTATATGAAATATAATAGATTTAATTAAATCCGCCTAATCTGCCTAAGTGCCCGCCTAGACCCCGCGTAGGCGCTAGGCCCCAGCCCACCGCCCGCCCAGAGTCTAGTGTCTTTTAGAACCTTGGGTTGAATAATACATCATTCCTTTGCTAATCAAAATCCTAGGGTGGAAATACAACAATTAAAAAAAGTGAGAGTTGGTCATGTGGGAAATGAAGAGAAAAAATATTTCTTCTTCGTTGTAACCAAGGTCCAAAAACAGTAAAATCATGGTGGTCTTCTCTCTTCCATCACATGTCCAGACTGTTAGGTAGTCCTCAGAGGTTCTCACAGGTGCTTCTTTGGACGTCCAGGTGGTCCTGGAACCACCTTGGTCCAAGAATGGCCCTGGCTACATTATGTGTTTTACAAAATATAATTCAAGAAGATGGTCCTTCTAGCATCACCCTTTACATAGAAAACAACTGTCCTAAATTGTTTATGTATGTTTCACCTCATATTTTTTTTTTCTAGCCCACTTCCCTTGAACTTTGATGGATCTCTGTAGCTTCAAAAGGTTCTTCTCTGAACACTATAAATATGGGGTTATCTCCAATCAAAAGCCAATTAAGAAACCAGCTGCTTCCTCACGAAAAACAGGAAGGTTGTAATCTTTGAGATATCATGGCAATGCTGTCATCAGATCCTCTTGTGGTTGGGAGAGTTATTGGAGATGTTGTTGATTACTTCTCCCCAAGTGTAAAAATGACAGTCTCTTACAACTCCAACAAGAAGGTGTATAATGGGCATGAGCTATTTCCTTCCTCAGTAACCATCAAGCCTAAGGTTGAAGTTCATGGAGGCGATTTGAGGAGTTTCTTTACACTGGTACGTGCATATGTTACCCTCCCAGCTGCTATATATTCTCATGTTATCATGTATACATATACCATAATTTATTTTCTTAAATAGGGGTTTTAATTTAAAACAATCATTTTGTTTTTCGTAGGTTATGACGGATCCAGATGTTCCCGGCCCCAGTGACCCATACCTGAAGGAACACTTACACTGGTAAACCTTTCCCTGAGAGAGATGATCATAAAAAAGCAATCTGAAATAAGGAAAAGAAATAAAAGTCAATCATTTTCCCGGCCCTAGCGACCCTTATCTGAGAGTTCACTTGCATCTACTTCTAATTAATTAACTTGGCCATAATATTATTTCCACCTGAAGATTAAAATTAATATGAAATACAAACCTTTTATACCATTGAGAAATATTAGTTATTAGGGGAGTTTCCATTAAAATTAACCATGTTTTAAACTATGTATATGCTTCTTTTTCTTTATGTAAAATAAAATTAACTATGTTTCCTTGAATCTTGCTAGTCTTTTTTTTCTTCCAATCAATAAGTTCGTATGTTTACATGGTTGACTTGGTAAATTTATTTGGTTTTTTTTTATTTATTTTCCTGTTAGATCCTGGATGCAGGGAGTTTCCATTTCCTTCTAATTATTTTTGGATAAAACTTACATGATCAGAATACAGAAGCTTCTATTGCATATATACTCATGCATTCAGTGTGATATTTTGGTTACAAAATTTGGACTAAATAATTTGCCATCTTGATTACAGGATTGTGACCGACATCCCAGGCACGACTGATAACACATTTGGTAAGTCCATTATATGTTCTGAGAGAGAGAGAGAGATGATGATGATGATGATGACGCTGAATATGATTAATATGATTTTTTGTTTGTTTGTTTGAACGTGTGATAATATAATTAAAAACAGGAATAGAGGTGGTGAAATATGAAATGCCAAGGCCAAACATAGGGATCCACAGGTTTGTGTTTCTTCTGTTCAAGCAGAAGGGCAGGCAGACAGTGATCCCTCCTGCTTCAAAGGACCACTTCAACACCCGAAAATTTGCAGAGGCAAATGACCTTGGGCTTCCTGTGACTGCTGTTTTCTTTAATGCTCAAAGGGAAACCGCTGCAAGGAGACGCTAAAACAATAGTAATAACCGAAAAAAAATTAAAAAAAACCTGCTCTGCTCTCCAAGTTGTACCTGGAAATGAATTGCGACAATAACCAGAGGGGACTGTGTGTTTACTATTTGTTTCAAGAGCACCCTCTGGCTTTATTAACCTAACAAATGTCTATTAGTTTACGGTTGTATACTTTATGTAACTTTTCTCAAAATAAATATAATAATATGGGAAAATTATACTGTACGACTAAATTTCTCTCACAAGTTGGTACTAATAATTAAACAATTTAAGTATTCTATAGGCCGGGATAGGTTCTCTGCTCTAACCGCTGGAGGGTGGAGAAGGTATAAACTGTCATAGTAGTCCGATGACTAGCGTAATTATGCAACTTTATCCGGCGGGAAAAAATTTAGTGGGGGAAAAATGGTCAATCGTCAACATTTTGGTTTATTTATTTATTTTTTTCCAGAGATTTTAGGGGAAACGTTCGATGGGCAAAATAAATTTTGTCGGGCAAAGTTTTCGTGCCAAGAGAGAAAATTGGCACGAATTATGCCACCATCTTGATAGAAGAATAGGTACATCGGCAAAGGTAACTTTGGCTGATGAAAAATTTGATGGGGGTAAATATGTCGATCGTCGGACAAAGATCCACGATGACCTGCCCTAATTTCTACTTACACGTTTTGTCTGACATTTTTTTAATGAGTTTGTCCGATGAATAACATTTGTTCGACGTCTTTGGTAACTTTGCCTGACGAACCATTTCGTCACGCAAGCCCCAATTCATTAAACAAGCCGCGCAGCCTTCTCCTTTCTTCTTTCTTTCCCAGCTCTCTCTCATTTCTGCTTTCTCTCTCTCTCATCACCCATCTCTCATTACCCAGCTGTCACTCTCCCTCTCCTAATTAATATAGGGTTTGTTTATTTTTTATTTGTTTAATCGTGTAATTAATTAATTAATTTTGTTTGTTGTGGCTTACGATTGAATTGGAAAAAAATTAAAGTCAAGGTATGTATTTGTTTCTCAATTTAATTTTTGTAGTAAATTTTAATTTATTTAATTATGATATATATGTATGTTGAAATTGTGGGTTTTGGAAAATTTTGAGTTTGTGGGTATTGAAACAAATGTAGCTTAGGTGAATTAAATTTGTGCAGCATTAGCCTAGTGTCACGGGCCGCATGTTACCAACAAATAAAATGCCCAAGACATCATATATCTAAGCCCACAAAGCCTTGTCTTCATGGAAGCTTCCGGAACATCCCGGAGAAATCAAGAACATGGCGGAGCGTTCAAGATAATCTAGGGCATTCCGGAACAATCCACACAAGTGTACATATTCAAGCCTCACCTAGAACAATCTAGATTAGGCAAGTTGTATCTAGAACTATACTAGATATTTTTGGATGTAAGTAGGGAATTCTAGAACCCTCCATTGAGGAGGTGACTTAGGCCTATAAATAGGAGGCAAGGCCATTTGGCCAAACCATCCAAGAGTTGTAAGCAATTGTAAAGCTCTCCTAAGTTTCAATACAAAGCTTCCTTTCTCCCATCTTCTAAGTGATCTTAGCATTCTCCAAGCTATCTTAGCTTTCTTAGTGATTCAATCCGGGGAAGCGAGGCTTCGAAGGCTTACTTAGCTTGTTCATCGAGGGATTCAAGTCTAAGTGCCGCACGGGCGGAAGGCTTAAAGAGTCATCCCGTGACAGCTGGTATCAGAGCCAAGCTCGTGAATCACTTGAAGGAAAGTAGGATATGGCAAGTGGAGAGATGGTGTCCGGAATCTCTGATCCAAGGGAGCGTACTGCCGAGGTCCAAGACGTTGCCAAGAGCAAGCCAAAGTTAAAGGACTTGCAAGCATCGATGGAGACCATGGAGGAGCGACTCGAGAAGGTGGAAGGAGCCATACTCGAGTTCGATACTCGACTTGATGAGGACGTTGTCGGCAAGGAGGAAATCCAAACCATGGTGGACAATGGTAAGGATGAACTGCGTGGCTTGGTGGAAGAGCTACGAGATGAGCTCCTTGGCGTCCTCAACACCATGGCGGACAAGATGCGGAGGGAAGTCCAGGTTCACCTTGACAACATGGAGGCGAGGTTTGTGGCGCTTCAAGAAGAGATAAAGGAGACAAGGGAACTTAAGGGAGATGTGGCGTTTTGTAAAGAAGCAGTCGTGAAGCAATTCGTGCAAGGGCAGAGGGAAATCAAGGCGTTGGACTCCAAGGTAGTCGACTCCTTTAAACCCAAATCCTATAATGGGAAGAGGGAAGCAAAGGAGCTCGACACATTCGTGTGGAACGTGGAGCGATACTTCAAGTACCTGAAGCTTGAAGATGACGAGTCCAAAATCTCAACGGCAACCATGTTCTTAGCGGACAATGCCCTCATGTGGTGGCGTCGTCGGAGCATGGAGATTGAACAAGGTACGTTCTCCCTTAACACTTGGGATGAATTTAAGAAAGATCTTATGTTGCACTTCTATCCCCAAAATGCCAAGTACGAAGCCAAGGAGAAACTAAGGTGGCTCAAGCAAACGGGGAGTGTCAAAGACTATGTTAACGCCTTTGTAAGTTTGCTATTCGAGGTGCCCAACATGTTGGAGGAAGACAAGCTCATGTACTTCATGAGTGGACTACAAAATTGGGCAAGACTCGAACTACAAAGGAGACATGTGCAAACATTGTCTGATGCCATTGTCGCTGCCGAATCCTTGATTGAGTTTAAATCAAGCCACCAAGGTGAATCCAAGTCTACGGGGAAGAGGAGTAACCATGAGAAAAGTGGGGGAGAACATAAGCCGAGGGATAAGGCCGAGACAAGCAAACCGAAGGAGAAGAAAGCCGACAAGCAGGACAAAAGCAAGGGTAAGTCTTGGCAACGCCCTTGTTACTTATGCGACGGCCCTCACCTGATGCGAGACTGCCCACAAAAGAAGGCCCTTAAGGCCATGGCCTTCAAGGAGGACAAGCCCGAGGAGAGTGACGATGCAAGGATGGGATGCATCCGTCTGCTGAATGCCATCCAAACGACCCTTCCACAACCCAAGGCTCAAGTTGAGGGAGGATCATTGTTCGTCGACGTCAAGGCTGGTGACAAGACGACGCGTGTGTTGGTGGACACGGGAGCAACACACAACTTCATGACGTCGGAGGAAGCCACAAGGCTTGGCCTCCGAGTCACAAAGGAGCCCGGTAGCGTGAAGACGGTAAATTCCGCTGCCACCCCCATTGTCGGAGTTGCGCGCAATGTACAGGTGGACATTGGCGCATGGAAGGGAAAGATCGACTTCACTGTAGTCAAGATGGACGACTATGGCGTAGTCATTGGGTTAGAGTTCATGGACAAGGTACGAGCCTTTCCCATTCCCTTCTACAATATTTTCTGTATCTTGGATGACGGAAGACAACCTTGCCTAGTGCCATTGGAGAGGCAAGCCAAGAAGGGTACCCAGCACTTGTCGGCAATGCAATTTGCCAAGTCTTGGAAGAAAGGCGAGGCCACATTTCTTGCAACCCTAATGTTGAATGAAGGGGAGGAGAAGTACGGGCCTTTGCCGAAACAAGTGGAGGCCGTCCTTAGGGAGTTTGCGGACGTGATGCCTAAGGAACTGCCAAAGAAGTTGCCACCAAGGAGAGAGGTCGACCATGCGATTGAGTTGGAGCCTGGTGCTAAGCCTCCCTCCAAATCACCTTATAGGATGTCGCCACCCGAGTTGGAGGAATTGAGGAAGCAACTCAACGAGTTACTTGATGCTGGCTACATCCAACCCTCCAAGTCCCCATATGGTGCCAATCAACGAGATTGGGCTAAGTTACTTGATGTTGCCCAATTCTCTTATAACTTGCAACGTTCGGAGTCGACGGGGAAAAGTCTGTTCGAATTGGCTATAGGGCAACAACCCTTGACCCCGAACACTGTCGTGACTGGCTACACGGGGAATAGTCCAGCCGCGTTCAAAACCGCTAAGGAGTGGCAACTAGCCCACGAACTTGCTCGAGCTCACCTGGAGAAGGCTTCAAAGAAGATGAAGAAATGGGCGGATCGTAAGCGAAGGAATGTGGAGTTCCAAACCGGCGACCAAGTCTTTGTGAAGCTTAACGCGTCTCAGCACAAGAGTACTCGTGGCTTGCACAAGAGCTTGTTGCGGAAATATGAGGGACCATTCCCTATCATCAAGAAGGTTGGCAAGGCCGCTTATGTCGTGGAACTCCCACCCCATCTCAAGTTTCACCCGGTGTTCCATGTGAGCAACTTGAAGCCTTATCATGCAGACAATGAGGAACCAAGTCGAGGTGAGTCTCATCGAGCACCCCCTTTGATGACAGAGGCATTTGACAAAGAAGTGGAGAGCATTGAAGCTAAGCGTGTTGTGGTACGACCAAGACAACCAAAGCATGTGGAGTACTTTGTCAAATGGAAGGAGCTACCATACTCCGAAGCGTCATGGGAGAAGGAGACGTCCTTATGGCAATATAAGGACTTGATTGATACGTTCGAGAGGCAAGAGTCGACGAGGACGTCGACGGCTTAAGTGGGGGAGGATGTCACGGGCCGCATGTTACCAACAAATAAAATGCCCAAGACATCATATATCTAAGCCCACAAAGCCTTGTCTTCATGGAAGCTTCCGGAACATCCCGGAGAAATCAAGAACATGGCGGAGCGTTCAAGATAATCTAGGGCATTCCGGAACAATCCACACAAGTGTACATATTCAAGCCTCACCTAGAACAATCTAGATTAGGCAAGTTGTATCTAGAACTATACTAGATATTTTTGGATGTAAGTAGGGAATTCTAGAACCCTCCATTGAGGAGGTGACTTAGGCCTATAAATAGGAGGCAAGGCCATTTGGCCAAACCATCCAGGAGTTGTAAGCAATTGTAAAGCTCTCCTAAGTTTCAATACAAAGCTTCCTTTCTCCCATCTTCTAAGTGATCTTAGCATTCTCCAAGCTATCTTAGCTTTCTTAGTGATTCAATCCGGGGAAGCGAGGCTTCGAAGGCTTACTTAGCTTGTTCATCGAGGGATTCAAGTCTAAGTGCCGCACGGGCGGAAGGCTTAAAGAGTCATCCCGTGACACTAGGAAACCCTGATGTGAAATTTGTTAAAATTGATTGTTTATACAAAGTTATATATGTTGAATAACTTCGTATAAAAAAAAAAAACTTACACCTGATTGAGAGTCTGTGGGATATATGTGTAGACGCAGTATGCGTCTCCAACATCCAACTAAT